GTGTTGCGCCCGCACCTCGCTCAGCCAGTGAGCGGCCGGTCTGTAGGTGGGATCCAAACCCTCGGTGGGAGCGCCACCACGCTCCCAAGCGGCGCACTGTAGCAGTGCACCACTGGGCTGGCCCGTGAATTGTAATGTTAAAAGTGAAAAGAAAATATGCTCCCAACTTGTTCAAGGTGATTCCTCCAGTGACCTTCAAGAGGCTGTCTATCTTCTTGGTCCACTGTTTCCAACCTCACTTTGTATCACTCTCCCACCTTGTCCCCAGCACGCTGGTCTTTACATTGCTCGGACATACCTAATGCTTGTTCCAGGGTTTTTGTACCTGCTGTTCCTATTTCTTGTACCCTGAGCCTCTGAGCCTCTCTTTCTTTCTTTTTTTTTTTCCTATACTTTAGGTCTCAGCTTAAGTATCATTACTTCAGAAAAATCACTCCTTATCTCAGTTTTCCCCTGATAAGGGCAAAGTAGAAAACAAGGAGATACAATGATCTCCTAACAGATGTCTCATCTCCCATCTCTATTGTCACTACTGTAAGATGTGGCAACTCTGTGGTCCCATTTACTGTCCCACTCTTAGCATTTAGCAGATGCTACAGACAACACATTTCAGACACTAAGCATCCACTCTCAATACTTTATATAAATTTAAAATATGAGTATGTAATAAGTATTTTATCACCCTGAGTTTAAAACTCTTCAGAATATCTTCAGAAGAGTCAGACTAGACTTTTAAAGTGGAACCTAAGCCCAAAGCCCTAAAATAATATATCTGCCTAATTCCACAGTCTGGTTTTTAGGTACTTTAAACATGAAAAGCCAGAAAATATTAGTATGCAGAGAAAATTAAGAAAGCTGTGCACTGACTAGAAAGGTGAATCTCTGTGCAAGTTAAGCAGACAGAGGCAATGTATTCTTGACTATGCCAGGGTCCAGTGATGATGGAATACTTCACCTTAAGTGGAAACACAGATTTGAAAAAACTTTCCTAAAGTATCCATCTTTCTTATTGGGAANGCACTGACTAGAAAGGTGAATCTCTGTGCAAGTTAAGCAGACAGAGGCAATGTATTCTTGATGGAATACTTCATCTTAAGTGGAAACACAGATTTGAAAAAACTTTCCTAAAGTATCCATCTTTCTTATTGGGAAGATAACTTCTACTCAAGTTTGGGGAAAATTTGACAATCATTTAAATCCACTGGATTTTACTCTAGAGAATAAACGTAACCCTCCCACCTTAGGAAAGGTAGCTTAACTACCTTTTCTCTCCTTTAAGAGCTATTGAAGCAAGTTTTTCTAAGCATAAATGTCTGATGTTAAGCACCTTCTCATAGAGTCCTCATTTGCTCAACTCTGCTCAAGCCCGTGATACTTTTACATTTACATAGCTAATAGCCCTTTCAAGGTGCATTGATATTTTCATTAAATTTAATGACTTTAAATCACTGATGGGAGGAAGAGCCTTAGAGTCTTTGGAAAAAGGGTTAGAATTATTTGCAACCCTTCCTCCTATTTGATGTTTTCTACTTTAGAACTGTTACATATAGTTGGGGGCATTTTCCTGTAAGGCAAGCTGTTACCCATGCAAATGGTTGGAGACCTCACTCTCCAGTAAAAACATCTGGAACATCCTTG